GCACCACCCAGATAGATAAACCGGCTCATCAGGTCTTGTGGCCCCCACCCAGGAACCAACTCGGCACAAGACAGCTTCTACTCCCTATGATTTCATCCCCAACCCAGCCAATCAACACTCCTAACTCACTGCCCCCTACCCACCAAATTTTCCTTAAAAATGCTGATTCCCGAGTGCTCCAGGAGACTGATTTAAGTAATAATGAAACTCCCATCTCCCATACTGGCCAGCTCTGCATGAATAACTCTCCATTGCAATTTCCCTGTCTTGATAAATTGGCTCTGTCTAGCCAGCGGGGCAAGGTTGAATGCATTGAGCAGTTACAAGGCTATTTTGCCCATTCCTGAAACAATATGTTACCAGCCTTGAACAATGGGACATACTTGAGTTTATTTTCTGGATGTTGGCAAAGCACAGTTAACTCAGGGAGGAGCCATATGTCATTACCCAGAATCCATTCTATAGGTAATCTAGAGGTTTTTTTCTTTTTCTTTTTCTTTCTTTCTTTCTTTTTTTTTTTTTTTTTTTTTGAGATGGAGTCTCGGTCTGTCACCCAGGCTAGAGTGCAATGGCACAGTCTTGGCTCACTACAACCTCTGCCTCCCAGATTCAAGCAATTCTCCTTCCTCAGCCTCCCGAGTAGCAGGGATTACAGGCATGCGCCACCACACCTAGCTAATTTTTGTATTTTTAGTAGAGACGGGGTTTCATCATGTTGGCCAGGCTGGTCTGGAACTCCTGACCTCAGGTGATCCACCTGCCTTGGCCTCCCAAAGTGCTGAGATTACAGGTGTAAGCCACCGGGCCTCGCCTCTTTTGCTTGTTTTTTTAAAGGCAGGATCTTGCCCTGTCATCCAGACTGGAGTGCAGAGGTGTGATTGTAGCTCACTGCAGCCTACAACTCCTGGACTGAAGGGAATCTACTTCTGCCTCCTAAGTAGCTGGAACTACAAGCACATGCCACCACACTTGGCTAATGTTTTTTAAATTTTTTGTAGAGACAGGGTCTAGTTTTATGGCCCAGGCCTGTCTCAAACTCCTGGCCTTTAACAATCCTCCCACCTTGGTCTCCCAAAGTGCTGGGATTATAGGTTTGAGCCACTGTACCCAGCCCCTAGATAGTTTTTCAAATTTTGTGAGGGTGTTGTTCTCAAACAGGAATTCAAACCAAAACAGAAAATCTATGACGTGATGTGGCTAATCCATGAAGCAAAGGTATAGTTCCATAGAGCTAGAAGAAAACTTGTTGAGCGTTTATAAAGCATGGTACCAAATATATTTATACTAATTACTATTCTGAGGGGAGATTTTATTATTGACTGCTTTGAGCTTTTGTTCAATTTGAAGGATGAGAGTTTTTGTTCAGGTGCTTTTGTTCAAGCTGTTACATGGGAGATGGTCTTGCAGAGAGCCTTCTAAAAACAAATTTCAAGGGAAATGAAATAGTAATATTAACATCAGTGCCTTTTTTTTTTTTTTTTCTTTGAAACCCTGAAACATTTTTATTTTTTGAGACAGAGTCTCACTCTGTTGCCCAGGCTGGAGTGCAGTGGTATGATCTCAGCTCACTGCAACCTCTGCCTCCCAGGCTCAAGCAATTCTCCTGCCTCAGCCTCCCAAGTAGCTGGGCTTACAGGCACACGCCACCACACCCAGTTAATTTTTTATATTTTTGGTAGGGACAGGGTTTCACCATGTTGGCCAAGCTTGTCGTGAATTCCTGACCTCAAGTGATCTGCCTGCCTTGGCCTCCCAAAGTGCCGGGATTATAGGCATGAGCCACTGGGCCTGGCCTGAAACTTTGTTTTTAATCTCAAAACAACATGGGAATATTTTTGCCATTACATATGCTTAACTTTTATAAACTAAAAACAAAGAATCATTAAATCACATTTTATTGCAAATGAAAAATATACAAACATTTAAGATTTATACAGTTTCTAAAATGAACAGCATAAACACGTGCAAAATAAAAGGCTTCATGAACAGTTTATTCAAAATATTTGAGATTTCATATATTCATATATTTTCCACAAAGCTTCATTGGAAGGGGAAAACAGCATTTAGCTCAGTTTTTCTGGTTTTAAGAACAATATTTGGAATAATTTTATATTGGTGTTGAGATAGTATGATGAATTCACTTCCACTTGCATTATTTAAAATGAGATAACTTGAAAAATTGAGGAAAGATGAATGTATAAAAATAGGCATTCAATGATCCTTAGGTCTCTAGTGGCAAGACTGTAAAAATTCAAATGTTGATTCAAAGAAAACTAAATTTTACCAAGTCCCTATAATCAGGCATAATGCCAGGTGCTTTCCATGTATTTAATACTTTAAAATATGTGTTAATTTCATTTGTTAAATCTAAAGGGTCTTATGAAAATTGTGCAATCTGAACTTATAATAAATAACCATTGACCTAAGAATAAAATTGTAAGACAAAAATAAGACGTATCTTTACAGAAGTAGGAAAATCTTTCCATTTGTCCTGTGTGAGCACAGCTTTGTAATCCTTAATGACACACATGCAGATATTCACACAATAAATCTTAAGATATCTACATGATGACAAAGTATTAAAATATATACATAAACTACCAGTTAAGACTAATAGTCTGACTATAGGGGTCCAGCATTTTATTCTTCCTTAGTCAATATTTTCATATTTGGGAAAATATTTTTTAGTGTTAGATTTGCAATAACATTTTGGTTTTTTAATGCATGTGCTCATCAGTGACTTATGTAGACAATTTTCAAATTTTTCATTGTTTCTCTGCATACTTCAATCATTAAATCTTTCCCAGTCATCATGCTGGGCATGCATTCACGTCAACACCAGTTCATTTTCCCATCTAATGTATACATTGAGCCTTGTGTCTGGGAACCTTTGACCTGGTCATAACGTACCAAGGGCAAACACTTTGTAAAAGGTGACACAAAGAAATGTCTGAAACTTTAATTTACCAGAACAGAGAACCACCAGAGTCTCAGGTTGGATGTCACGAAAAATGCCATTAATTTCCTCGCCAAAAAGGTGTCCTAGAGAGTTCAATAAAGTTCTTAATACTAAAAGAAAAAAAATTTTAATTTCTGCAATTTTCAAATGCAACCTTATCAGAAGATGCTTTTTTGGGTCAGGGTCTCTTGTCACCCAGGCTGGAATACAGTGGGACAATTATAGCTTACTGCAGTCTTGAAACTCCTGGGCTCCAATGATCCTCCTGACTCAGCTTCTTGATATTTTTTACATTTTTAAGAGAGATGGGGTATAGCTTTATTGCCCAGACTGGTCTCAAACTCCTGGAGACTAGCAATCCCCCTAACTCAGCCTCCCAAAGTGTTGGAATTACAGGCATGAGCCACTGCCCAGCCAGAAGATACTTCTCCTACAAACTTGTGTTCATAGCTTATATATCTGATATACAAGTAAAGTGAAACAGCAATCAACAGAGTAAACACGTATTTGACCTGAGGTATCAACCTATGGATGTTCCATGGATTATCGATTTTCAAAAATTTAGAATGTGTTAGAATTGCACTCAACACTAAACTATGCTGAAAAGACTATAATGGCACATTAGGACCTTGCAGCCATGTCAGGTAGGTTGTCATCCTGATCAGTCATAGTTTAAGAGACCTGGGGAAATGCTGATTGAATTCTGAATAATAAAGCTTACCATTATGACCTTGGGCAGTCTTGAGCTAGCTTAGAAACAAAAACCAAACCTAATAACATTTAAGGTTAGAGCAGAAAAAAATTCAGTCAACCTGATTTTTTTTAATGATAATCTTTTTGGTTAGAATTCCTGAGAAAAATAAGATGAGTATAAAAATAAGACAGCCAATTTTTTTTCGAGAAAATCAATAAGTGACAGTAAATCTGTCCATTACATTAAAGACCACCAAAAATGTTATTTCATCCATGCATTTGAAATGAGAGAGGAAAATTTTATAAACATTTTAATGTGCAAAAGGTATATTCCTGCAGTAGCCCCTGAGGTCTTGGTATTTTGCTCGCTAGGAAGTTGACTTTCTATCCTATTAGAATATACCTATTTTTAACAGTTAGTAACTAATCATAATTTCCTTAATAAGGGTGGAAGTACCAAGCTTCAAGAGAGCCATTATGATAATTTGTTCAGATTTTTCACAAAGATTTTTCTAGTTGTTTCCAAACAGTCTGTGGAAAAGTCACCCTTTAGGGATCAAACATTTGTGAACAATTGAAGTGTAGGATATAATCCTAAAATAATGTAGCAATCTTTTACAAAAATCACTATATCAACAAGAAAAAATAACCTTTAGGATAATAGTAAAAGAAAGGAAAATAAATGAACATAAGTGACTCCAAAGCTGAATTCACCTGACTTCCACAGAAACTCCATTTTGTCTTATGTCTTCCAGACTTGAGTTAATTAATGGAACCCGTGAAAACAATCACATGTGCCTGTGTTTTTGTGAGAAGAAAACTGTTTCCTTTATCTGAGGTCTGAAGTATTTTTCTTTTCCTCGGTTCTCTCTCTTTAATTGGTAGTAAATTCCTATGATATGTCAATTAGTTACAATTCATACGCTCTTCATGGGTGTGTGTGTGTTGTGTATTCTAGCCGACTAACGAAGCAGGCTTTTTTTTTTTAATTTCTTTTTTCTTAAAATAACCGTTTAGCTATCTAGTTTTAGAAGGAAGGTGCAGAAGGGAGAAAAAAGCACCCGTGATCTCACTTCTCAGTTTAAACAAATTTTTTAAAAGCAAAAGCCCCTGGCCCTTTTTCTTCTTATTCTTCTTTGAAACAGGGCCTTACTTTTCACCCAGGCTGGACTGCAGTGGTGTAATCTGGGCTCACGGCAGCCCCAACCTCTCAGACTTAAGTGATCCTCCCACCTCAGCCTCCCAAGTGGTCGGGACTACAGGCATGCGCCACCATGCCTGGCTAATTTTTATGTTTTTTGTAGAGACAGGATCTTGCCTTGTTGCCCAGGGTGGTCTTGAACTCCTGAGCTCAAGTGATCTGCCTGCCTCAGCCTCCCAAAGTGCTAGGATTACAGATGTGAACCACCGTACCTGGCCTCTCTTCTCAGTTTTAATAATTTGAAGTTATGACTCAACAGAGAATATGGCTGATACTGCATGTATCAGAACACTGCTAATTTTATATTAGTGAATGACTGTGAGTCTAAAAAGAGCCACCTGGCAGAGACAAATATATTGTGACCAGAAGAAGGAGACACACATAGCTCTTTAACTTCTTTGATCCTTAGGGATAATTTCAAAGTTTGTAGAAATGAAAAGCAGCAGAAGTCTTCTGGAGGATAATCAATCTGATTTTCAAATTCATGGCCAAAAAGATGACATTTTTACTTGGCCTCACATCTAAATTAGTTAGAACTGTAAAAATCCTAGCTTTCCTAGCAGTTCTTCCAAGAAGCAAGCACTCATTTTCTTCTTCATGTGTCTCATAGTGGTTAAAACTCAATGTTTCTAGAGACTTCAGTCATCAGTTCTGCTAAACAGGGTAACATCATCATTGTATCCTGGGGCTGAACACTCCAGGTTCTCTAGTAAAACATAATTGTTTTCACTGACATTCAGAGAGACGACTTCCTTCTTAGCAGTAGATGTAAGCTCGCTCCAAGAAATGTCAGTGTTTTTAAAAGCATGTAGAAGGAAGATGCCAATGATAATAGTGAAGAATCCACTCAGGGTCCCAAGGATATCTCCAGCTGTCATGCCATACCACTCTTGGAATAAGACAGCAGAGCAAGTCACCACCATGGATGTGAAGAATACATAATAAATGGGTGTCACGAGAGAAGTATTAAAGGTGTCCAGTGCCTTGTTGAGATAGTTAATCTGTGTAGTTACTGAAAGCACAAGTACAGCCAGCAAAACAAAGACCAGGGGATGTTTGTAAACTGGCTTCCATTCTATCAGCTCCTTAATGGCAATTCCCAGGCCTTTGACAGAAGAAACTGAAAACGCTCCAATCAAAGAACAGATTGAAATATAGATCAGTATATTGGTCTGTCCTTTCTTGGGAGCCACAATCAAAATCAGCACCAAGGAGATCACAGTTATGATCACAGCGAAGGAAATAAACCCTGTTAGGAAGATAAAATAATTTGACTTCAGAAAATGCTCATAGGATTATACCTTTCTGAAATCTTGTTAGTCATGAGTTTAAGAGCATAGGTATTTGAGAAATAGAAGTGAGATCAAATTTAAAACAACAGTCTATTGCATAGTTTTCAATATTTTACAAAGGACTTTCACAAATACATAAATCTCACCAACACTATGAGCTAGGGCAGACATTATCAGATTAACTTTTTATTTTCAGAAGAAGAAAGTGGCAAGAAAGATTTGATTTTGAATACATGTCTTTTGCCTCTACCATCCCTCCCTCTCCCTTTGGTTGTGTACAAGGGGAAGCATGAACACAAAAATAAGTTCTGCCATCTTTTCAGGAGAAATAGTAATCAAACCCTACTGTGTCTCACAACCCACAACATGGCTTGTAGAAAGCTTATTGCAATATTGTTACAAATACTATTTGGTGAGGAGAGAAAGTGAAGCAGAATTTGAGTGTTTCTTTAGGTTGAACCACAGACCTGGATCTCTCAATTTCATTTCCATTTCATGCAAAGAAGTGACTTCCTCTTCTTGTGGGGCATGGATAACCATCACAGTTGACCCCAATATACTTAATACGCAGCCTATTTTCCCATGAATGTTCAAGTGCTCATTTAAAAAGTAGGAAGATAATATTGCACTGTTAGGAGAGAAAAAAATTAAAGATCACTCTAGTTCAATTACCTTTTGATCCCACGGCAACTCAGAAGTCATACTGGTGGTACAGGCCACCATGTATCCCAGTGAGCTGGCTGAAATATGCTATATGACATGGAAAAACCTAGATTGGTTTGAAACTCAGAACTGACAGGCAATCAAATGTGCTTCAATTTTTTTTTATATCTAAAGAGCTATAAAATATATCCCCATAATCTTCCAATGACCTTACAAGTGGTTCTACTCAAGTCATTTTCAATTTTTCCATCTTTTCCTGTAAAGCCAAGCAAAACAGAAAATCTTTTATATCTTACTGGCATGATACATTTAGAATATGTATGCCCATGGATGTTTCAAAGGAAGATATATTTCTAAAGAAAAATTACTCTTCCCAGGGCTAATAATCAGCTAATTCATATCACTACAACCAAATGGACCAGGCATGTCTAATGTTTTGGCTTCCCCAGGCCACACATTAAATATACTAACACTGCCAGGTGCGGTGGCTCACGCCTGTAATCCCAGCACTTTGGGAGGCTGAGGCGGGCAGATCACCTGAAGTCAGGAGTTCGAGGCCAGCCTGACCAACATGGAAAAACCCATCTCTACTAAAAATTGAAAAAAATAATAATAATCAGGCATGGTGGTGCATGCCTGTAATCTCGGCTACTCGGGAGGCTGAGGCAGGAGAATTGCTTGAACCCAGGAGGCAGAGGTTGAGAGGTTGCGGTGAGCCGAGAATGCGCCATTGCACTCCAGCCTGGGCAACAAGAGCGAAACTCCATCTCAAAAAGAAAAGAAAGAAAAAAAGAAAAAAAATATGCTAACACTAATGATAGATGATGAGCTAAAGAAAAAAAATCACACACAAAAATAATCTCACATTGTTTTAAGACAGTTTTACAAATTTATGTTGGGCCATGTTCAAAGTCACCCTGGATCACATGCAGCTGGTGGGCCGTGGGTTGGACAAGCTTGATATAGACTTTCAAAATATCAAAATACTTCCTTACCACCTGCTACTGCTCTGATACTTAGGCCTATCTGGTACTCCTAATGCTTCAGTTGCTGTGGCCTCAGGAAGCTCCAGAATCACACTGCCATGGACATCAGAGTATACCATCTTGTTGCTCCACCAGTGTGCTTACTGTGGCTTCTGCGCACCAGCCTTCTTCCTCTAATGCCCTGGCATCCCCATGAAGGCAATTAAGTGCCCATCTGTCCCCAAGATTATGATCAATTACCAGGTACTTTCCTAGCGTTGCCCTCATGTGGCCACTTGTAGGACTGCAGCCTTAGTGAAGACACGACCATTACTACTACTGATACTAGCTCTTCACTGCATAGCTAAGTGTTCTAAGGGCTTTATTCACTCACTTAATTCTCACAACAATCCTATAAAGAAGGTAAAAAGAATTCAGTAGGCTCAATAACAAGTTTTTTACAAGAGGTGGATAATGAATAGAAAAGAAAAAGACAAGAGAAGAACAGGCAAAAATGTATATGCTTATTAAACACATTCATTTGGGATCATAATAAAGATAAACTCAGAAGGATTAGATCCACATTCCATGAAATAAGAAAGTTATTTCCGTTTCCAGTACTAAAACTAAGTATCCAGCAAACAATGCAAGAATTTTAGTGAGAGTTGGAATTTAACAAAAACACTGTGCGTTTAAAAGTCCTCTGAAAACTATGGTCATTAACCACTATGGACTCTGGCAATTTGTTCTGATGACAGATTTAAAAAACCTGCTATGCTTCACTGCATTGTTAAAAATGTAGCATACATTTATGTTAGTAGGAAATCAAACTCACTGTGTCTTGGGTTTTTTAAATAATATGACAGTTGATGTCCTATTTCTACTGTTATTTATTTTATAGTCTTCTCAAGTTATTTTTGTGATTTCAGGCAAGAAAAAGTATTATTCTCACTTTATGAAGGAGTAAACTGAGGCTAAGTGACTTGTCCAAAGCTTCCCAGGAATGTCGGAAATGATTTGGGTTCATCTAGACTTTTAGAGCCCAGGTTGGTATAGATTTGCATGTTTGCTTTCACATATCCACAGTCGTATGTTTCTTATGGTTTAAGTTTATCTTGGTCTTAAAATACCTCTAGAAGCCAAGTTCCTTATCGCTCACATACCTTATGAGAACACTCAGAGCGCCCAGGGGGGTGACCAAGGTGGCAGGTGCAAAAGCATAAGCTGCAAAATTCGCAGCCTCTCCTGTTCCCACTAGAAAGCAAGCAGAGATACTGATATTAAAAATGGGCTCACTTCTCAGAACAGAAAAACAAATGTCTCATGCAAAGCAGTGGACTTGTTAGCCAAATACATGGGAAGATCTAGCAAAAAAGAATGATGTAACTTGTTTTATAGCAAGTAGGGATAATTGCTATTAAGAGATGCAGACAAACTGTAATACCAGGTGATACAAACTCATTAGATGCAAAAAGCGGTGACAGATGAGTACCCATTTTAAATGGCTTTCAACAGAGGTTTTTAGCTACTTCAATACTGAAGACATATTTGGTGACTCTGATGAAATCTAGTAGAGGTAGCTTTGTAGTAAGCAGAGAATCATTTCACTTGCTCAAGAATACCTACAGTTTTGTAGGTTACCCACAACCACCAAAACCGGCTTGGAAATAGAATGCTTTAATCTGGTGTGTAGGTAGGGAATAGCCATAGGCCCATAAAGTTAGATATCCCTCTAGTGTAAATGGTCTACAAGCAAGTAACAGTATCTCAGTAGCTTAAGGAGATCCAGGCAGCTGTTTTAAAGTCATGATATGCTCCTGAATGTAATCTTTTTCTCATCAGAGGAACTCTAGACTTGCATGAGATAGCACGCTGTAAATAACTTCTAGAGTGAGAGAAATCCCTTCAAGAGCTGGGCTCTTGTACCAAGGCCAAGTTATTCTCACAGAACACAGCTGGAAACTTGCCCACAGAATGTGGTATTTCATGCTGGCAACTACACTAGCAAATGCTTATTGGAGACAGAGAAAAGAACACCAGCATGATTTTTTCTTTGTACCTTTGCCTGGCTGCTATGCTACATCCCCCTAAATCTATAGGAGTACCCAGCATTAGGAAAACATCATTAAGCAAATCTAAACTTATAGAATAATTAAGACATTGCTCTCATAGAAAGAACCATGGCGAGGCCGGGCGCAGTGGGTCATGCCTGTAATCCCAGCACTTTGGGAGGCAGAGGGGGTGGATCACTTGAGGTCAAGAGTTCAAGACCAGCCTGGCCAACATGGTGAAACCCCATCTCTACTAAAAATACAAAAATTAGCCAGGCGTGGTAGCAAGCACCTTTAATCCCAGCTACTTGGGAGGCTGAGGAAGGAGAATCTCTTGAATCCGGGAGGTGGAGGTTGCAGTGAGACGAGATCATGCCACTGTACTCCAGGCTGGGTGACAAAAGCAAGGCTACTTCTCAAAAAAGAATGAACCATGGCAGTTTTCTTGGAATATTAAGGTTTCCTTGGGTACTTTACATTATTTATATTTTTATCTTTATAGATAGTTTTCCAGGAAAACATTGACTTCATGATTAAAGTACTGTATATATGTCACTTACCTACTCTCTAATGTATGCTTTTGTCTCTTCAATACTGACATAAACATTTTTACACGGTGAAAATAAAATTGCAAATGTAGTCATATAATATTCTACTTATATTTTCATTGTAAAGTGTGGGTAGAAGGTGGGGAGATGCAAGTAGGAGAGAAAAAGAGAATGATCCAAATAGCTATCTGGAATCTTCCCAGGCAGCCCTTATCAATTTTTATTCAAAGAAAAATGTATGTAAAAGCACCCTAAAAACTGAAGGGGCAGTTGGATGTGGTGGCTCATGCCTGTAATCACGGCACTTTGGAAGGCTGCGGTGGGCAGATTACCTGAGGTCAGGTGTTCGAGATCAGCCTGGCCAACATGGTGAAACCCCATCTCTACTAAAAATACAAAAATTAGGCAGATGTGGTGGTGTGTGCCTGTAATCCCAGGTACTCTGGAGGCTGAGGCAGGAGAATAACTTGAACCTGGGAGGTGGAGGTTACAGTGAGCCAAGATCGAGCCATTGCACTCCAGCCTGGGTCACAGAGCAAGACTCCATCTCAAAAACAACAAAACAAAACAAAACAAACAAAAAACAACTGAAGGGGCTATACATACTTAAATTATTTGTATTAATCATCCTTTTAGATTCCACCATTTACTAAAGAAAAGGTACCCAGTTCCTTCCCATAACAGGATCTTACAAATACTGAAATGCATTGCTTGGTTTGGGGAAATTCAGGGAAGCTTTAAGACTCCTGGCCACAGAGGGAATTTATGATGCCCTTTTAGGGGAGAGCTTTTGATTTGGGATTTAAGAAAGTTCATACGACTTAGGAGGGAGACCGAGTCAGCAAAAGTGGCTGAGGGAGATGAACACTATCTTCTATTTGGACATCACATTAGCATTTAGGCAGTGCTTTCAGATCCTGTAAAATCTCATTTAATCTTTACAGCAGGTCCGGGAGGAAAGACAGTGCTGACACCCCTCATTTCCTCTCCATTTGTTCAGTACCAAGCAGCCACAGAGGCCTTTCACTTATTCGTGGTGTTGTCCTGGCAAGGAAAATGTACTCGTTCTTGAGAAAATATGTGGCTACAATAGTCACAGGTTCAAATTAGGAGGTGGGAAAATATGAAAGAAAAGCACTTTCTCTGTTGTTATGGTGAAGAAAAGACAAGATGTCTGTGGTTAAAATATAATATTTCAAAGGTCAACTTTTTCCCTTGCATTCCAGGACAGTACTGAGAACACAGGGAGTGGGAAATAAGAGTAAAAATTAATTTATTTATATATATTAGTATATATAGGACAATATATTACACCAACACAAAAATTTTTAGACTTAAATTCCATCCTTGTTTCATTCTTGACAGGAAGATTAACCGATTTTGAAAAATTTCATGTAAACTATTTACTATCTTACACATAAACAGTATTCGCAGTGTTAAAAACTTACTTGACAGCAATCCTGCCCACCAGAGCCATTCCTTCAGGTAAGAATGTCCACCTTGTCCTAAAATGCAAAAAATAAAAATGAACAAATATTGGGTTCTACTCTGGAGGAAGGTTTGAAGAATTGACTTCTAGAAAATGTACTGGATTATGGTTAGAAAAGTTAAGTCAGTAAATCTAAAGTCTTTCAGCTTATTTACTTGGTCATTTGCAAACCTTTTTTTCTCCCAATTTACAATGATTTATTTAACGAATCCCCTAATTGTTTAATTGCATTTAGATTTTTTTCCATGTTTCTCTTACAAATACAATGCTCTCACGAATCTCCCGGCACATACATCTTTGCAACACTGAAGTGATTATTTCTCCAGGATAAATTCCTAGACGTATAATTGTTGGGTAGGAGAAAATGCGTTTTTTAAAGAGCTTTACATATATTACCAAATTGCCCTCCAGGAAAGTTATGTCAATTTTTAAAAAAAAACTGCAAATTTGATAGTCTTAAAGTGGTATGTCATTTCAATCTGCATTTTTCTATGTTTGTTGCCCATTTTATTTCTTCTTTTATGAATCAGAAGTTCATTTTTAATTTGGGTTTTTTTCTCCTGATTTTAAGAATAGATTTAGGGGTCCAAGTGCAGTTGTGTTACATGAATCTACTGTAAAGTCTGGGCTTTAGTGTAACTATCACCTGAATAGTGAACAGTGTACTCAATAGGTAGTATTTCATCCCTCACCTGTTTCCGCCCTTTTACCCTCTCACCTTTTGGAATCTCCAGTGTCCATTATTCTACTTTGAATGTCCACACGTACCCACTGTTTAGCTCCCACTTATAAGTGAAACATGCAGTTTTTAGATTTCTGTTTCTGAGTCACTGCTCTTAGGATATGGCTGCCAATTCTGTCCATGTTGCTGCAAAGGACATGTTTTCATTTTTCTAACAGCTAAGTAGTATTCTATGGTGTGTGTCTATAATTATACCACATTTTCTCTATCCAGTCCTCTGCTGATGGGCACTTAGGTTGATTTCATGACACTTGTGAATAGTGGTGTGATAAACATATGAGTGTAGTGTCTTTTTGATAAATGATTTCTTTTCCTTGGATACCCAGGAGTGGGACTGCTGCATTGAAGGGTAGTTCTATTTTTAGTTCTCTGAGAGATCTCCGTATTGTTTTCCATAGTGGTTGTACTAATTTACATCCCCACCAACAGAGTATAAGCATTCCCTTTTCTCTGCATTCTTGCCAACATCTGTTGTTGTTTGACTTTTAATAATAGCTATTCTGACTGGTATAAGATGGTATCTCATTGTGGTTTTAATTTACATTTCTCTGGTGATTAGTGACATTGAATATTTTTAAAATATATTTGTTGGTTAATTGCATGTCTTCTTTTGAAAAATGTCTGTTCATATACTTCACCCACTTTTTCATGGGGTTTTTTCTTGTAGAGTTGTCTGAATTTCTTGTAGATTCTGGATATTAGACCTTTGTCAGATGCTTAGCTTGCAAATAATTTTTCCCATTCTGCAGGCTAGCTTTTTACCCTGTTGATTATTTTTCTTGCTCTGCAGAAGCTTTTTAGTTTAATCAAGTCACATTTGTCTATTTTTGTTTTTGTTGCATTTCCTTTTGAGGACTTAAGTCATAAATTCCTTGCCTAGGCCAATGTCCAGAAAGAGTTTTTCCTAGATTTTCTTCTAGGGTTTTTATAGTTTCAGGCTTTACATTTAAGTCTTTAATTAGTCTTACGTAGATTTTTGTGTATGGTCAGAGATAAGGTCCAGTTTCATTCTTCTATATATGGTTCTACAATTTTCCTTGCACCATTTATTGAATAGGGTAGGCTTTCCCTAGTGTATGTTATTTTCAACTTTGTCAAAGATCAGCTGGTTGTAGGTCTGTGGCTTTATTTCTGTGTTCTCTATTCTGTTCCACTGATCTATGTGTATATTTTATACCAGAACCATGCTGTTTTGGTTATGATAGCTTTGTAGTATAATTTGAAGATACTGTGATACCTCCAGCTTTGTCCTTTTTAATTAGGATTCCTTAAAACTTTCTATATTATGTTGCCATGTCACCTTTGTTTTTCCACAAAAAGTAGTAAGCTTTTCTTAATTTGTAGGAAATTTTATTTAATCATCAGGTTCACTGTATTTATGTCAGTCAGAGGTGTGGACATAAATACTTCATTTTCGCTATGGTTAAAATTATAAACGGAAAATATAAATGGTAAATTACATTGGCACTAATGAGGACTCTAAAGGGAAGAAGATGGTTGACATAAGAGCTTTTGAGATTTTGGATTAGTCAATGAAAGAATAACAAGCATCAGGCAGATGCACTCTGCTGATTCTCTACCTTGGCATGCTGAAATCAAGTTTCTATCTAGTTTACTGAAAAAGACAAAATGCTTTTAAGCTATTCAAAAAGTTTTCTTCCTAATACTCTAATCTGTGACTTTATGTCATTAATATTTACTACAGAAAATGGAGTTTTCTCATCAATTTTAATATACTCAGCTCTCTGAATTTGACCTAAATGATTTTGTTATAAACAGGATATATAAGCTATGAAGATTATGCAAAGTAGTTAGCTGTGCTTATTTAGGATTTTCACCTTAAGAAATTTGCAAATAACTAAGTTGGAATTCTGTTACAACACTAGACCTGTCTAGTTTGTATCTCTTTGGGCAGTAGTGAAACAATATTTACTTATGCGTATTTATTGGTGATTTGCATTTTTTATTTTGTTAGTTTCTCCTTTATATGCTGTGTCTATTTTCTGTTAGGGTACTAATCTTTTTCTTATTAACTGCATTCACTTTTTATATATTATGAAGCTTAACTATACTTTGTCACATATTTCATCATATTCCCCTCAATATATCATTCGCTTTTTAGTTTCAGTTAAAGTGTTTCCATATAGAATGTCTGTCATTCTAGATACTTTCTTCCTTTATATAAAATAAATTCTTCCTTTATTTTTATGCTTAGAAAAACCTTCTTTTAAGTTTTCTTTTAATAATTATTTCATTTTTAAATTAAACTCTAACCTATCTGGAATGTATTTTGCTGAATGGTATGAAGTAGAACTTCCATGTTTTTCTCCTCTAATTTTTCCCAATTGTCTCAATACTTTGAATGATTTGTCCTTTCTCCACAGGTTTGAAATGCCACTTTTTAGAATAACAAATAAAGTTGTTATATATACTTGGGTCTGCTTATAAGTTTCAAATTATCTTTGATTTTGTCTGCTTTAATGCCAGTATCAAATTGTTTTAATAGAGCACATAGTATGTTTTCTTTTCTGATAGTACAAATCTCATCTCATGGTACTCTTTTATAAACTTGCTTGTGTAATTGGTAGTCATTGATGTTTTTCCATATGGATGTTAGAAAAATACTTAGGTCTTACTCTGGTTTCTCTTCCAATCCCATAAATCTTTCACCTTTTACTAAAGATTTCCATGAAGAAAATACTTAGGTGTTTATTATAATTGTAGAAAATGAAAACTCATGGTTAATGAAGGGATAGTCAGGCAGACCTTCTCAGCATCTTAAGTGTCACTATAAATAGCAGCCCAATTCTATTGTTATCCATTTATTGATTTAATAAATGTCTATTAGGTGCCAAACACTGCTAGGGAAGGTTCCTGTTTTTGAGAATCTACTATCAATAAGCAAGTAAACCTATCAGCAACAATAAAGAATACATATACAACTAAAAATTATCCTAGGTATGGTGAGGGAAACTATTAGCGCAGTGACAGAGAATAACGGGGTGGGGTGGGGAGACCTACTGTGAGAGGATGGTCAAGGAAGGCCTTTCTGGGGTGATGCTACTCACACTGAAGTCTGAAGGATGAGTCAGCTGAATGAAGGGCAGGGAGAAGAGTTCCAGGCAATGCGAAAAGACCTTGGGATGGGAAAGAACCAGACCTATTCCAGGAACAAGAGAAAAGTAGGTGAGGAGGAGAAAAGCAGAAGAGGAAGTTGGAAAGGTGACAGAGATCAGAGACTGGAAGACAACTCCATCAAGACAGGGACTAAGATAAATAGAGGCAGTGAGTTATTATTACTGCAGCATTGTGGCCTTACAACAGGATGATTTCTGCAGTTAGAAACTTGAATTTACTAGTTGCATGTGTTTCTTACCAGCTCTAGTAACGCCCTTGCTGGCCAGTTGCAAGAGGCCCTTCTTTTTCAATATGAAGCTGGAGCCAATAAAAATACTGGAGCTTACTGCCAGTACCAAGCCCATATAAAGACTGTATTTGTTTTCTACGTTTGCTGAAATGCCCAAGTTGGTTATGCTGGAATTCAGTTCCGTGTAGAGCATAGGAGAAGCCAGCAGCTGTGACACATTCGTGATCTCACACCAAGCCTGGGAGGAGTTTGGACAGACCAGAGACAGCACATATCCTGGACAAAAGGAAAGAAGAAAATGTCAGGAATGAAAGGGAGAGGTATTAATGCTTGCTGGTTTTCTGCAGGGAACAGAGCCTTGAGTGGATGGTACTGAAACATTTTACTACACGCAGGGAAGTCCCTAACAGGTGGCCCACAGGCCTATAGACATTGTTAATTTGGCCAGCACCGGTTTTTAAAAATGATTTTTTTTTTTTTTTTTTTGAGACGGAGTTTCGCTCTTGTTACCCAGGCTGGAGTGCAATGGCGCGATCTCGGTTCACCGCAACCTCCGCCTCCTGGGTTCAGGCAATTCTCCTGCCTCAGCCTCCTGAGTAGCTGGGATTACAGGCACGCGCCACCATGCCCAGCTAATTTTTTGTAGTTTTAGTAGAGACGGGGTTTCACCGTGTTGACCAGGATGGTCTCGATCTCTTGATCTCGTGATCCACCCTCCTCGGCCTCCCAAAGTGCTGGGATTACAGGCTTGAGCCACCGCGCCCGGCCTTTAAAAATGATTTTAAAGTGTTTAGCTGTCATCGTTTAAAAATGAACAATTTCGCATGAAAGTCTGGATTCCTCCTATAAATTCGATCTGGCAAACCTTGTGTCTTTGTTCTGGTGAATCAGCAACTTGATGGAGCAGCGAATAACTGCTCTGACCTGGTGGTGCTCAACAGTTCATCACAGCCCATCACATCCACTTCACTCTGCATTATCAGCCTGGCTACTGGAAAGCAGGGCTTGTGAGCCCTAAAGGTAGGGAGAAGGCATAGCAACCTCAGTCTGGGAATCACACTGCAAGAAATGTGTTGGCTGGGTATGGTAGCTCACTCCTATAATCCCAGCATTTTGGGAGGCCAAGGCAAGATGATTGCTTGATTCTAGGAGTTTGAGAGCAGCCTGGGCAACAAGGTGAAACCCTGTCTCCATAAAAAAATTGAAAAATTAACTGGCCATGTTGGTGCACGTCTGTTGTCCCAGCTACTCAGGAGGCTGAGGTGGGAGGATTGGTTGAGCTCAGGAGAATGAGGCTGCAGTGAGCTGTGATTGCACCAGTGCACTCCAGCCTAGGTGACCGAGAAAGACCCTGTCTCAAAAAAGAAAAAAAGGAAAAAGAAATTGGCTGGGCATGTTATCTTATGCCTGTAATCCCAGCATTTTGGGAGGCCAAGGCAGATGGATCACTTGAGGTCAGGAGTTCTAGACCAGCCTGTCCAACATGGTGAGACCCCACCTCTACTGAAAATACAAAAATTAACGGGGCATGGGCATGATGGTGTGCATCTGTAGTTCCAGCTACTATGGAGGCTGAAGCAGGAGAATCACTTGAACCTGGGAGGTGGTTGGAATGAACTGAGATCACACCACTGCACTCCAGCCTGGTTGAGAGAACGAGGCTCTGTCTAAAAAAAAAAAAAAAGAAAAAAGAAATCTGTCTAACTCATTTGTAGGGTATGAGTCATTTGGTGGGTATGAAGAATTATATATTTGAGAAAACATGTTTTAAAAGTGGGTTTAGTTTTCTATACCACTTTCCCTGATTTTTCAGGTTTATTAATTCACATTCTCCTAAAGAAAATAGAATCTAATAAAAAAATGAATTAAATATCATTAGGCTTTTTAAAGGATAAGATTCAAAGCAGCATGTAAATCCCCAGAACCAGATGCATTATTATAAACATCTTGGAATTTTGAGGCTAAACACTGAAACACAAAATGAAAATGTTTTACAATGTTATTAATGAAAACTATGTAAGAAACTTTATAATCAGATACAATTTTGGAATTCAATTTTTATAAAAGGTTTACATTTCAAAAATCTTAAGAAGGCATATAAGCAACAAAAGACAGTTTGATCAAATGATGTCTTAGTAACAAGACTTCCATAAGTGGACCTATGCACCTCTGGCAAAGCTTCATGCAGCCACCTGAATTTTACCACATTCAAAGTTAAGAAACACCCACGAAGTTCAGGTCTGGAAAATAATAAAATAACATAATTCAAGGTTTTCATGAATTTTATTTCATTTATCTCTGTAATTTGAAAATGACCCAACTTTGTTTCAGAAATCCAGAATAGTTGGACATGGTGGTTCACCCCTGTAATCCTAGCACTTAGGGAGGTAGAGGCTGGAGGATCGCTTGAGCACCAGAGTTTAAGACCAGCCTGTGCAATATAGTGAGACCTCCATAAAAAGGAAAAAACAAAGAAACAGGACTCCAGAATAAACTCAAAGTCAGAACAAAATATTCTAAGGACAATTATATTACTTCAGGGTATTCTATAATACTGGAGAATTTTCAGGCTGGCTGTTTTAATAAGAACTGTTGCAAATTTTCTTTTCTTTTTTTCTGAGACAGGGTCTCACTCTGTCACCCAGGCTGTAGTGCAGTGGTGCCATCATGGCTCAGACCTTCTGGGTTTAAATAATCCTCCCACCTCAGCCTCCCAAGTAGCTGGAACCATAGGCATGCGACACCATGCCCAGCTAATTTTTTAAATTTTTTGTAGAGATGGGGTCTCACTCTATTGGCCAGGCTGATGCTGCAAATTTTCAAATAAGCCGGCCCTTAGCAATCTTGTTCTAAACAATGTTTATCTCATCTAAGCCTCAAGAAGGGAAAGTGATTCAGTATATTTTTCTAAGAATTTTGATTACATTCATTCCTGAGAAAACACTGAACCTGACTTACTAGTAAATTCCATGGCTGCATTCATGTAATTTACTATGCAGTTAACATAACCATTCCAAAACTTCGTCTCTGAAATCAGTGTGGGTGGATCTCATTCCAGTGAAACAATATTCCTTCTAAGCTGTTGACATAACAAAATGGTTCTGACATTGTAGGGGGTGTGGGAGCAGAGGGTGATAAGGGAGAGCAAATGATCACTGTTGGATTTTGTAAGTTCTCATTGTAACTGGCAGGCATGAATGCTCCAAGTTTTATGGCAGGAAAAATAATAAAAATCTTGTCTGGCTACTGACCTTAGAACTTAAATTGTTTTATGCTTTGGGAACATGTTAGGGAGACAGCCTGTGGCAGATATGACTGAAAAAGGAAAAAAAGGATGTGTTAGTGAGTGTGGAGTGACCTGTTGGAGAAGGGGAGAGACGGGTAATGGAGGGTGTGTGGGCAGGGAATTTGGAGTGTTTTAAAAGACTCAAAGCTATCTCAAGTCACAGTTGGCTTCTCAAGATTCAAGTAAGCACAGTAATTTTCCAGGGAGTTTAATCTAGACTTTATTCCACAGAAAGAGAACATCTACTACATTCATTATTTTTCAATTTAATAGACACTATCAATAGTCCTTTAAAGTGACTATACCAATGGATACTCTTGCTAGCCAGGAACATGTCTTTCTTCTTTGATGTTATTTTTCTAAATAGAGTAATGAATATTTAGGAAATATATGTTATATATATATTTATATAAATACATGTTATATGTTATATATATTATATATTTCTTAAATTGGCTGGTTGATACATTGGTGTATATATATATCTATATACATACCATATGGTGTATATATAGATACATATATACACATACACAGCGATGTGTATATATATATGTATACACAACAATGTATCGACCAGCCAATTTAAGAAATAAAACATCACCCCTCAGAGTTAACAACTATCCTGATTTTCTCTTTAACATTCTTTTGCTTAAAAAAAAGATTTTCTCCATATATCTTTAAAATGTTTTGCCTCTTTTTGTACCTATGAAAATGTAATGATAAAGTATTTCTTTGGTTACTTGCTTGTTTTTGAGTTTCATCAAAACATGATGCATGTGGCTACAGGGTCTGTTTTCCCCCCACTGTTCTAGAGAATTCCACTGTATAACTATCACTCAACTAATATTTCTATTTTATACTTGGTTGATACTTAAGTAGTACTCCTAATGTTCTTATATTATGTTGAACTATATGAAATTGATGATAACTGAAGAACGTCAACCCTATGACAAATAGTTTCATATGGTTCAACCTAATACTTATCTTCTATGTACAGGTGTAATAGTTTACATACATATACCTTTAAAATTTAAAAATGAAGATCTATTATCTATAATCATGGGCAAGTTGAGTAATGGCTCTTGGTTTCAGTTTCCTCATCGGTAAAACAAGGGACTTTGACTCAATGATTCTAAAGTTTAATCATAACCTGTCTTTGTTCTCAGAATTACTTACAATACTGGTATCTCATGAATGTTCTTGATGGACCAGTTCTGAACTCACAGGCACTGATAGACAGGAGACATTTTAATGAAACCGATGCCTATATATTAAGTGACACTGACCAAAGTTATGTAACTGCTAAAACCAGGACCAAGTAACCCAATTCCCAGCCAGCATTCTATTTCAGAAACTATATAAAGTATAAGAAAAGCCAGGTGAAATATATCATTAATGTTTAGATAAGGATGAAATGCTTTAAATAATTTGTCAACTATTTGCCTATAGAGAATAATAATACAAATTTAAATAATAATCTAAATTGTCCAGTTTATTACATGGAAGAGAAATCTGGTTTTAAGAAAGTGATTGCATAGAATTACGTTTTCAATCACTGCAAGATATTTCCAGTTGGGGGGTGTCTCACCATCTACTCTATTGCAATAGTTTAGATTATTATTCATTCAGTATTCAGTCCCTTACCCTTCCCAGTGTGGGCAAAGGTACTTCACCTGATGTTGGGCTGGAAGTAATTTGGTGGCTCAATAGGATGTCAGCAGAGGTGATATGAAGCTATATTTCAAAAATGCTTATGTAGTTGGGTTTACTCATTTGAGTTTCTGTAATTCCCTGAGGAACTGCTGTCCCTTCAGCCTCAGGACCCAAATGAAGACATGTGGAGCAGACGTGACCTCATCCCACACAAACGAGCCAAACCCAGGTGGACATTAGCCTGAAGCAGAGATACATAGGTGAGCCCCATCTAGATCAGTCAACCTTCAGCTGACCTAGAAACCTAAGCAAGAATATATGATATATTGGCCTGTTCTTAGTAGCAGAGGAATAACTGAATGAAATATCTTTATGTCTGTTACAATTTATTCTCCAAACACTGACCAGTAGGGACCAGGTTACATCACTCCCTGGCTTAATCCTCCCTGTCCCCTCTCATGGTTTTTCATTTCAACTTATGAAAAAACCTTAATCCTCACTAACTTTGAACTTTTAAAGCTTCCTTCCCATATTCTGAAACTGGCTTGTTTCTGACATCATATTGCATTACTCTCCCTCTCACCCCTCTCTGAAATACTAATTTTCTTTTCCTCATTCAACAAATATGTATTATGTACTACCTGTGTCACCCCAGGCAACCTGGCTGACGGCAGTTTCTTCAGCCCCTCAGGGTTTCTGCTTTTAGACTTAGCAGAAAGGCTCTTCTGTTTAATCCTGTTTGAAAAAATATATTCCTTGATGCTGCTTTTACTACTTGCCATGGCACTCTGAACATATGTATAGTTGTTCGTTTATCCTATCTGCCCTCATTGGAATATAACGGTCTCCAGCTGTCTAACCTCATTCCGTACTATTGCCTTTTCTTCTGTTCCTTTTATAGAATAAGTCCCTTCTCACCTTAAGCTTTTATAAAAGCAGCCTTCTTGACCCTTTTACAGAGTGCTGGCTGGTATAGCTAGCTTCTCCTCATTTAAGTGAGAGGACTGAGCAACTCAGAGAGGCTTTTCCTGCCTTCCCAATCTCAAGGAACCTCCTAGTCACTTTCCATCACATCACCCTATTTAATGTTCCCAATCAAATAGACTGCCTCATACTTCATTACAGCTTTATAACAACCTTCATACATGTTTGAATTTGTTTCTTTTAAAGATAATTTTGTATTAGAGACTCTTTTGAAGCATCTATAGCTTTAAAAGTCAAAACCAATGCCAGGTGGGTGGCTCGTGCCTGTAAACCCAGCACTTTGGGGGGCCAAGGCGGGAGGATCACTTGAGGTCAGGAGTTCAAGACCAGTCTGGTCCACACAGCGAAACCCCTTATCTATTAAAAATACAAAAATTAGCTGGGCATCGTGATGCATGTCTGTAGTCCCAGCTACTCAGGAGGGTGAGGCAGGAGAATCGCCTGAACCCGGGAAGTGGAGGTTGGAGTGAGCCAAGATTGCACCACTGTACCGCCATCCTGGGCGATGGAGCGGGACTCCACGTCAAAAAAAAAAAAAAAAAAATTCAAAATCAAAGTATGAAATTAACTTTTTCTTTGTGGAAGTTCAACTGGAATGCTCTATCTTCAGATCTCATGACTGACCCCTCGTCATTTGGGTCTCAGCTTTAATATCACTTTCTTAAGGGGTTTTCATTGAATACCCAATCTAAACCTCCCTACACTCCCAGTACATTACTGCTATTATAATGGCCTTTTAAATTACTTTGTTTCTTGCATAGTAGCTGTCATCTGAACAGTAAAGTGCATGAGAGTAAAACCTAGTCCTAGCGTCTAGGTCCAGACTGTCTTGCAAATCCCTCTATCCTAGCACCTATCCTACTGTTTGGCATATGGGACTCTTGTTATTTGAATGAACAAGTGAAAAATTGAATCTGTTTACCCCACGTCAAGCTCTGAGTGGTGTACTTCATTTGTAATCCCACCTGCACCTACTCTTCACAACTGTAAACTGGAGGGATGAGCCCCAATTTATAGACAGGCTCAAGGCTCAAGGAAGCTAAGTTACAGCTCAGACTGTCTGATGCCAAAACCTAATCTCTTCCCACTACTAATAAAGTACATTCAGATTTCTAAGTCTTTCCCCACCAGCTTTCCACACAATTAATTACCATGGTTAATCCAGGTGTTAAGCCTGGAGCTTAAATGTTTCTTGTTGGAACTAAATGCATGAGCAAAGCAGGAAAAACACCCGGAAGCTCAAACAAGTGGGTATAATTCATACACCCTCCTTACTTACAGATCCTTGGGTAAACAAAGGTGGGTGTGTTAGTAACCGTCTGATTTACTGGTTTAGAAAACATTTAGAAAAAGGGCACACAACCTGACTCTCTAGGAAATAATTCTAGATTCCGCTGCCTTAAATTTTTTTTTTTTAAATAGTTTGTGATTTGTTAAGGCACTTTCTTTTTTTGAGAAAAAAGAGACAAGGAAATAATTCTAGATCCAGCTGCCTTTAAAATTTTTTTTAATAGTTTGTGAGTTTTTCAGGCATTTTTGCTCTTTTTGAGAAAAAAAGACTAGAAAATAATTCTAGCTCCAGCTGCCTTACATTTAAAAAAAATAGTTTATTACTTGTTCAGGCATTTCTCTCTCTCTCTCTCTCTTTTTTTTTTTTTTTGTGTGTGTCCCTTCTCTTCCTTGTTGGCATAGTTTTGACGAACTCACTTGTCAAAAAGGAATAACCTGGAAAAGCCTCTGCCCATCAAGGAATAAGCTGGAAGAGCCAAGAGGAGAGGAAACCAGGGAAGTTGCGAGCACCTTTGCAAAGATGTGTACATATATACATATCTATATATGTAAGGGGACTATTTATATGTATGTGTGTCTTACCATGCCGTCCACTGCCTCCCTTTCCCTTTACTGCATTACCAGGTAAATAAAAAAGCTGCTTTCCTCTTGGCACGGTGAAAACCATTATTTCAATGGATCGACACCCTTCTGGTCGCTCCCCCTACCCGCTTCCCTTCTTTCATCGGGGCCTTCTGTATGGAGAATGAGAATGCCCACCAGTGTTGTGAACTGGTGAGCTTTCTGCAGTTCACAGCTGAAGGGCAAGGAGCCTCGCGCAGACATTTCACAGGGCTCAGGCCGGAGCTGAGATCCCATCCCAGGATGCAGTGGGAAGAGCCTGCCGAGGAGTGCTCCCGGTTCCTGATTTCCTCTACGGGAGGGCTCTCGCCTTAAGCAGCCAAAGAGTGACTGCACAGCGAGTCAGACTGGCTCGTGGGGTTGGAGACGTTGTCACCTCCAACGGAGAGGAGAGACGTGGACGGCCCAGACTTGCCCAGCACCAACCCCCGCGGCCCTGGGCGCTCGACCTCTCGCGGGGCTCCATCCCCGGGAGCCAGCGCAGGACTCCCACGTCCCCCCACCCCCGAGGCAGACACGCCCTCTGCCCACCAGGCGACTTCGGCCGCGGACTCTGGAAGTGAGCCTGAGTCAGAGGAAACGTCGTTCTCAGAGGGACTCGGGATTCTTCCCACAGCATTCCGAGTTTCCCCGTCCCACACGCAGCACGCTGTACTTTACACGGGTCGGCCTAGCGAATCGAGTGGGAGTCCCATCTGCTTTATTCCTCTCCGGCTTTCCAGCACAGCCCGAATCGCCTAGGCACCCGTAAATGAGAGTTGAACGCCTGGTTGGACGGCCGGCTGACTGGATGAATGACTGAGTGAACGACTACGTAGAGTCGGTACATCCCCCCTTTCCAGTCTCCGCAAGTCTCCGGGGCCCGCCCACCCGGTCTCTTCGCCACCCAGATGCCAGGTCCCACGGCTCAGGGCAGACACAAACCTTCTCGGCAGGGCTCTCCGGGCGGCAGCCTCACCTGTGCCCCCATGGCCCCGGGACGGGGGTTCCCGAACGCGGGCGCTGGCTCCTCACCTGGGCCTCTCCTCCCTGCGGACCCGCGGCGGGTGGGGCTGCGGGGTGCGGGAAGGGGCGCCCTGACCCCGCCCCCGGGGCAGCCTCTGCCAATGGCTTTGGCCAGGCGGGGCCTCAGCGCCGGGCGCGGCCCAGGGGTTGTTAGAAACTTTCAGAGCTCCCGCGGGCCTGGGGGCGGCCCGGGATAACTCGTGTTTCTGGCCGGAGTGGAGCAGCTGCCCCTCCGCGCGGCTGCTGGAGGAACCAGAGAAACACAGACACGCCTCACAGGTCAACGGCGTCTCTCGGAGCGTGGAGCCCGCCAAGGCAACTCCGGGAATTGAGTGGAGTGGAGGCTGCGCTGAGGCCCCCTTCTGGCTCCTCTCGGGTCAAAAACTCTCCCGCGCTAGATTCTCAGAGCCCTGCTGCTTTGGGAAGCCTTCAGATGTTAGTTGCTTCGCGCGGAAGCTGCTGACCGCTGGGGTTCTGCGCCGATTGCTAGACTCGTTTATTTTGGAGGCTGCAGAGCAGACTTTGCCCTCCTGTGCTGTTATCAGCTTCTGTCGCTGTCCGTCTACGCCCCCTACATCCACTCCGCATTCCGTCTCCAATCAGCAAGCAGCTCCTCCTACCCTGCCCAATTACCTGGGTCATAGAGATATTTGAAATAAACCTTTAAGAGAAAAGCAATCCGTAATCTGGAAAGGCCTATTCCCACAAATTATTAATAACTAATATTTATGATATCCTTGCTATATCACACGTATGCAGGCACATTATGTCTTAATTAAATCTCACAGCAGTCTATTACCGCTCAGTTTACAGTTATGGGATAAGAGACAAAGAATGAGGTTAAGTAACCTAACCAAGGTTGGAAGACTCGATAGTAAGTATTTATGCAACAGGGATTGGGCAGGGCTGGGGAAGGTGGCTCACACCTGCAATCACAGCACTTTGGGAGGCCGAGACTAGTGGCTCGCTTGAGTCCAGGAGTTCGAGACTAGCCTGGGCATCATGGTGAAACTCTGTCTCTACAAAAATTAGCCAGGTGTGGTGGTGCGCTGCTGTAGTCCCAGCTACCTGAGAGGCTGAGGTGGGAGGACGGATGGCTTGAGCCCAGTAGGTGGAGGCTACAGTGAGACATGATCACACCACTGTACTCCAGTCCGGGCAGCAGAGTGTGACCATGTCTCAAGGAAAAAAGGCAGTGGCGGGGTCGGGGGACAATTCGGGCTCAAACTCTCACCAGGGAGAACTAGGGTACCTTTGTGTTCTGGCATTTTAACGCTAAGGAAAATACCCTCACATACTCAGGTAGCCTTTGTTCTAGGTAGGCATGAACAGTGCTATTAATTTTATTACCTAAGAGTTTCATAGCAGAGGCCCCAATCTTGCTTTTCTTGTTCTTAGACTGATGAGAGAAGAGCTAAGTACAAATTAGTCAACATACCAATCCAAGGCACACACTTGTAATACATGTGGATGACTTTGCAGAGAAGGAACACCATGGAGAGTGGAACAGGTGAAAGTGAAAGGGAGGCAGATTTATGTCAATTTCCCATAACAAGGCTTAAACCTTAGACTTCTACTTAAACGTTTTCTATGGATTTCCTGCTTAAAATTTTGTCTTTATCAAAGATTGGTAATAATAGTAAATGTGATCTAAGTTGCTTATATTTTATTTAACAAACACTTGTATAGCACGTAGCAAGCACTTTTCTAAGATCTTTATAAATATTTGCTTTGTATATCTTCATGAAAATCCTGCAAGGTAGATACTATTACCCCCACTTTACAGCTGAGGAAATGGAGGCACTCAGAGATTAAGTAACTGGACTATGCACACAGAGCCAGTAAGTGTGGAACTGAGATGCCAATCAAGAAAGTCAGGCTCCAAGTATGTGTTCTTAACCGATTTGGTAATTGGACATTAAAAAACAAAAAACAGACTTTAAAAAGTGTATCTTATTGAATTCCAGTTGCATATTAAGGCCTATTTTAGGTAAGAGGCATTTTGTTGTAGTTCTTGCTTTACAATTCTGAAAATAGAAACATTCGGAAAAAAATATTTAAACTCATTTAAGATCACTGTTTTTCCAGTTTAAATGTTGTCTAGCAGAAATTTGTAATGTATTTTCCTTTACTGACAATTTCTAGATGACTTTGGAGATTACAGTTATAGTACCACAGACTATCTTGAGTGTCATAAGTTTGGGGGATATTTATTCCCCCCAAAAAGAATGTTGTTTGTTTAACTAAAAGAAGAGCATTAAAAAAAATCTCTAACTAGCCCATTCTTTGATTCTAGGAAAATTCCTCTTCTGACTCAAAAATTAGAATGAGATTCTAATGAATCTAATTGAATGAAAGCCTCTAAATGCCAACTCCTGTTTTATTGGTCTTTGTGCTAGGACACTTAGACCCAGGGGTGATGGTCAAAATAAATAACAATCAGAAGGGCCTTAGAACCTCAAGGCACAAGGCCACAGGTCTTTTGAGCTTGGGCAGGTCTGGGAGGGTTCCTGCAGTGTAAACGTTAACCCCTCAGTTGCTACATTGTGGGGAGGTCTGTGGTTTCTGGGGCAATGGATAAGACGACTAGACAAGAGGGGTGGTAGCTGGAAAGTTAAAACCACCTTTGCAAAAATCATAGCACTGAAAAAATTTTAACAGTAAGCTGAGCTGATTCATCCTCCATCTTGCCTTTCTCTTACTTATTCCTGGGTTATTGGGCTGTGAAAGGAAAATAAATCTTGGAGGCCCCAAATCACTAAGCTAAAGGGAAGAGTGAAGCTAGGAGCTTCTTAGGACCAACCTGCCTCCCATTCTATTCAAAGTCACCCCTCTGTTCACTGAGATAAATGCATATCTGATTGCCTCTTTGGAGTGGCTAATCAGAAACTCAAAAGAATTCAACCATTTGTCTCTTATCTACCTATGACCTGGAAAGCCCCCTCCCTGTTTCCAGTATTTCTGCCTTTGCTTTGAGTTGTCCCACCTTTCCAGACAGAACCAATATTCATCTTGTATATGTTGATTGATGTCTCATGTGTGCCTAGAATGTATAAAGCCAAACTGTGCTCTGATCACCTTGGGCACACATGTCATCAGGAACTCCTGAGGCTGTATCATGGGTGTGTGTCCTCAACCTTGGCAAAATAAACTTTGTAAATTAACTGAGACCTCTCTCAAATTTTCAAGGTTTACATTTTGGTAACCACAGAGGGATTCTGAGTGGAGATGCCCCTGACTTTTGACAAATCTCCTATTGGTGCTTGGTATCAGCATGAGCTAATTTTATGGCTCAAACCAATAGGACAATTTGGTAAGATCTGAGAGCACCCTGATGCTCTGAGAGAGAGAGAGAGAGAGAAAACGGATGCTCAGCACCCCTGATGCTCTTAGATAATCCCTGAGTTCCCAAAATTTAGTCAAGATCTAAAGTTTATTTTGCTGTACAACTCCTCTTTTTTGGAGTTTTACTTGTTTCCATCAAGGAAGGCAAGAGTTCCTGTTTCCATGACATTGGAAGGCAGGTAACTCCTTTATGGAGTTTGGCTCACTTCCAAAAGGGAAGAAGATTTTTTCCCCCTGTTTCTAGGATGGTAAAGAGCAGTGTACAGCCTGAGACTCATCCCTAGGTAAGTACCTGAATTGTTTAAAGTTAAGATTAACAACCAACTGGTCTTAACTTTGTGATATTGTGCTGGCCTAGAGCCAGAACCGGAGCAAAACTATTTTATAAAATGCAAAACTGTTTTTAGATAAGGTGAAAAGGCTGCCCCATTCTCCTTACAATAACTACTGTCCTTGGCCTCTGTAAATAGAACTGCCAGTTTGTTCCTCAAAACTATGTAAAGCTGCTTACCTTTTCTTATCAGTAACTGCTAAAATCTGTGACTTCTATCACCACCCAGACGATGTGTAAACAAATGTATATCCTGACTTCTGTAAACCACTGAGGTAACAAACAGAATGACAAAAGTCCCCTAGACCTTGGAATGTCCGGAGACCCCCGCCCTTGTCTCCACCCAGGAGGTGAATCACAGAATCCCCTAGCCCTTGGAATGTCCGGAGACCCCCGCCCTTGTCTCCACCCAGGAGGTGAATCACAGAATCCCCTAGCCCTTGAAATGTCCGAAACCTTATCATCCCCACCCCCGCCCCTCACCCCCACTCCCAAGGTGGTTTTTCGGGTATAAAAAATCATGGCACCCTCCTTTTGGGACCACAGGTTGGAGAGACGTGAGTCCTCTGTGGTCGCCGGCATAATAAATGACCCTGCAATCTGGCATACTTTTGTCTCGTGATAACTTTCTACAAATACAACAACTTCTCCTTACCATTAGAGCATTCAATGATCATATAAATAGTGCCATTGTTTGTTTGGCTTAAATGTTTGTTGTTGTTGTTTGTTTGTCTCTGTTTTTATTGTTGTTTTGGTCTTTTTCCCACTGGGTTTGATCAGCGCTATCCAATTTGATCAAATCGAAAAGATAGTTCCAGATTATGGGGAAGAAAGTGGCTAAATTCTCAAAAAAAAAAAAAAAAAAAAAGGAAAGATTTTTTATTTTGACTACTAAAGGGGCTTTATTTACATAATGCCACATTTTTGTTAGCTAGGCATCTGTGACATCAGAATAGATGAAAAACTTTAAGGACTCATGGAGAGCTGAAATGTTCCTGAATATCAAGCAGAACAGGAATTAACTGCATGTACTAAACTAATAGAAGTCCAAAGTAATTTTTTTAATGTTTTGCTTAAAATGTTGCTGATCCTTTGTTTTGTTTTTCAAAGTCAAGAAAACTTTCAAGCTATTTACAGCTTTTAACAATTAAGTATACTCCTATGAATAAAATTGAGAGTGTATTTGTTTCTCTGTACCTGATTTCTACAGAATTTGGAAACTATTTGTGAGTATTCTTAACTTATGGCAATACAGTTATTTGCATAAGTGCAATAAGAATCTGTTTTCATTTTTAACAGGACACAATTGGAGAAATTAGTTAGTTTACCAGGGCTTTTACTGGAATGGTGTGCTTTACTTTAAGGAGTCAGACATGACTTATGGAACCAAAACAAGCCCCTTGGGAAAACTGGCCTCATACCTGTGTCTACTCAGCCCCTGTATAAGGTTCCTGACCTGTGTTAAGTAAAGAATGTCACTTTCTGACAGGCTCAGGAGCCCCAAGTTTATCTTGGACTCTCAAGAGGACAGGAATTCACCCAACTCATAGGTATTTGATGGTACAAATCCATGTCTAGACTTGACTTTAAAAAAGTCATATCTGAGATTTCTTCTATGGAATAAAGTTCCATCAAAGCCAACTTAAAAGCCCATGTAAAAAAACAATTATTCTTGTTGCACTGTAAACGAATAATCAGGCCAAGTATGATAAAGCAAATCAGTCCTACCAGATTTGTTTTTAGTAAAAATGGGAAACTGGAGAGAAAAAATTATGTTTCAAAAACTATAGTACTCCTGTTCTTAGATTCCAGTCTTGCCTAATATTTTTCAATTTTTATTATTTTCTACAATTTGGACTGAATTCTAATTTTTCTTGGCTACGAGCCTTCAAAATAATGCTTTCAATTCCTTTCTGTGCGACCCCTGGTTGTGGGACCCCAACCCACGGAGGCAGGCACCTAGTAGACGCGAGGCAGGACGCATGGTGACCAGTACCGACTTTATTGGGATCTCCGGGCGACTCAAGCGGGAAGGGAGGAATCGCCCGCGCTTTCCTTGTTCGGTCGGTTTTATAGGGGCAGAGGGCCTGGGGTGGTGGGAGAGCAGTGGCGGCAGGTGATGATTGGTTAGTCCCGGTTGCCGGGCGGGGAGTTTGCCGAACGGGAAG